TAACAAGTGAGAGGGATAGAAATTTTCCCTATGTTGGGGTGGGTATATTTTGGTAGGTTAGAAGTTGGTTATTGCAACAAAGAGAGAAGTTGAGCATTGTAGGTAAAATAAAAGGTGCAACATGGAAAGGACAAAAAGAATGATAGCTTTGTCCAATGTACCTAACACTTGAACCATTTAACATCATGAATTTCAAGATACAGTTTGATGCGTTAGTTGATCAGCAATTTGAAATTGGAAAAAGTTTATATAAGATCAGCGATTTAAAATTGGAAAAAGTTTAGATAAGGTTGAAGTTTAATATTATTGAAGTAAGGTACACCTCGAAAATCCCTAGAAGAGAGTGCTCCAACGCTAGAGAACCCTCCAATTGATCATCTCGACCACGAGAAGTGTGCATATGAAGAAAAAAAAAATGTCAAAGTTATTTTCTAACAAATTATCTAGACCCTCTAGATCTGCTAGATTTGTGCCATTTTTTAAATTTTAAATTTCAAAACTAGGGATAGAAAAAGATTGTTGAGTCACCATAAAATTTCCTGTACCGAAACTCCATCTCTAAGCAAATTTTTGAGATGCACCTTAGCCTTACTTCTACCATCTAAGGAGGGTGTCTTACACCAAAACTCACCCTTTGAAATTTGATCGAAACAATAATGGGCAATTTGATATCACACAAAAAAATTTGGAACATATTAAATCATTCACATTATAGGTGCAATTCTATAAAGTTTTTTAATCGTAATAATGATAATCATAATAATAAGCATACGAAACCAAAACTTTGTCCCATTAACATACCTAGATAAAGCGTCTCTTTACTTTTTTTTTCTTTATTTTTGGCGATATAAGAGGTAAGAGCACTAAAATGTGAGCACGTGTAGCATACTCCTAAGGAAATAACTTTATGGGAAAATATAGAATGAGACATTTTACCTTTGGTACAAAATAGTCACATTAATCTTAACCATTGGATGTGAATTTGGATGGCTATAATTATTCCATTGACCAAGCTCAAACTTTGAAAGAAATCTTTTCCAACTTTGTAACACATCCAAGCTATCAAATTCACTCCAGATGGTTGTAAGTAATGATGACCACCTTGTATCAAAGATAAATGATCTCATTATATACAATCCTGAACTTTTTATTTCCTATACTAAATAACTCATTAAAAGGATTTTTATGAACTAAAATATTGATATCCATTTTGGAATGGGTGTTTTAAAAAACAAAACCTGGATTTTGAATTCTTAACACTTCGATGTGACAATGCGAAAACTCGGTGATCTCTTTTCAATCTTATGATGTCAGTTCTTAAGTTCTATCTTCAATTTTAAAATGTTAGTTATTAGGTTAGATATTGTCATTGCTAAAGTTATTATTATGGCGGTTGGTATTTTTTTTTTTTGAAAAAATTACATACATATCTGTTATAGTTCCATTATTACGGTTTTATCAAATAGTTTCAGTTATTACCACCGTGTCCGTTTTTTTTATATCAAAACGGAAATTTTAAAAAAAGACAACTTTACCCTTTTTCGATTGTTGAACAACCAAATTCAAAGTATTTTCAGTTGTTCAACAACTGAAAACGGGGTCAATTTCGGTTTTTAAATAACAGAAAATTTTAAAGAACCGAATTTTTTTTTCTCTCTTAAACAACCTAAAATGGGGCTAATTTTGGTTTTTGAATGACCGAAATTTTCGGTTTTTCAAGAACCGAATTTTTTTTTCTTTCTTATGAGTCTACGTATCCTCTCTCCACCTCTCACTCTATTTTTTTTTAAACTCTCTTTCTCCGCTTCACCTAGCGTCTTTTTTTGGGTAAGTTCATAATTCCTGAGATTCTCCTAAATTTAGGAGCTCAAACTAGCTGACTTCATAAAGGTAGAGAGAGAATACGTCACTAGATTTCTCCTAATCTTCTCATCTCATAATCTCTAATATTTCTCATAAATTTAGGGATATGTATGTAATAAGGAAACTATTATGATGTCAGTTTTTATGATGTCAGTTCAACAATCGCAAAAGAGTAAATTCATTTTTTAAATATTTTTTTCGTTTTGACATAAAAAAAACAAACACGGTGGTAATAACGGAAACTATTCGGTAGAGCCGTAATAACGGAAACTATAACGGATATGTATGTAATTTTTTCTCTCTTTTTTTTTTGAAGGTAGCATCCCCAAAGTTTAGGGTCTTAAAAATGCTTCTAACTAGGGTTTTAGCCGAGGGAATGAATGCATCATAGGCTCTAGAGCACATGATATTTTGTCATAAAGAGCGAGTATAGGGATAATATCTCACTCGAGTAAAGATATGGATAATATCGCTTTATCCCTTATTTTTAACTTCCATATCTGATAAGACTCAAGAATTGAAAATATTACTTGTAAGCAAAATGTCTCCATCTTTTCTATCATACTACCCCTTGGACCCCTTTGATCATAAATTTTTGACCCAAACAAACACTAAAACGACACTCTATTCAAACTCCATCTCTCTCTCTCTAAAAATCCATCTCTTTCTCTTCGATTCTCGGTGAGCTTACCAGTCAAGGGGTTTAGCTTGAGCTCGAACATGAGCACACTTTCTTATGTGTGAAAGAGAGATGGAGTTTTAGAGGGAGAGATGGAGTTTGGATTTAGAGAGAGACATAGAGTTTGAGTTTTAGGGAGAGAGATGGAGTTTTGAGTGAGAGAGAGATGATGATGTGAGAGAGAGATATAGTTTTAGAGAGAGATGAAGTTTTGATTGAGAGAGACGATGATGTAAGAGAGAGATGGAGTTTTAGAGAGAGAGATATAGAATCATTTCATAAGTTGTTGAGGTCAATAATATACGGTCAAAAAGGTTTAAGGGGTTGGAAGATAGAAAAGATGAAGTTCTTTTGCTTACGAGTAATATTTTTAATTTTTGGTTTTGATGAGAAATAGAAGTTAAAAAAAAAGGATAATAAGATATTTTCCCTAAAAGATATGCTTAGTACTATCAATTGAAAATTTGAAATCATCTTTATAATCACTACATGGATATTCTAAAAAAAAATGCAAAAAAATTTTAGTTCCTAAATATTGAGATTAAACTTGGACTGTGTTTGTTCAATCTTAGCACATCATTTTTTTAAGGGTGCAGTTTGTATAGAGCCGAGGCTCTAAACAATCAAATTAGAGCATAACTTTAGATAGTATCAAGAAATGTGGTTTCAATACTGGGAATCTTTGTGATAGCCTTAAAATATATTTTCATCTCTAATTATAAAATTTAAATATTAAAAAATAGCGTAGATCGAGCAAATCAATGAGAACTTTAAAAGCTTGAAAATTGACGGTAAAAAAATGTGTCACAAGGTGCACTATTTCCAAAAGTTGAAATCCTTTTTTTATTTTTTTCATATCTATGCATCTTGATATCGAGATAATCAATTTGAGAATAGTTGGGCATCAAAACAACATCTTTTAGTGAAAATTTTGATGTAGGCTCCAATTTGATTGTTTAGGGTTCAGCTCTATATAAACTTTTTCCATTTTTTAATAAGCCATAGATGAAATTTTTTTATCTTTAGTTCAGAGTTTAATAAGTTGAGGTTATATCCCAAATTTTGGGATCCTCAAAAACCAAAAGGAAATTTAGTTTTGTTTTGAAATTTGGAAGTAGCCTCTTATATCTTATATTTTATAATTAAGTCCCACTTTTAATATCATAATATTATTTTAACTTTATCTATTTTTTTATAAATCAGATTAAACTCAAATTTGATATATCCATACTTTGACCATCAAAAACTTATGAAAATATATAAAAAATTATTTAAAAAAATAACCAAAATGGCCTTATAATTTTTGGGATATTTTGGTTATTTACCTAAACTTTTTTAAAATATTTTTTTAAAAAATGTATCAAAATACTTAAAATATGAACTATTTAACATTTTACCATATGAATTGATTTAATTTTAAAGTGCCCATCAAAATACAAATCATGAGTTGGAACAGGGACAAATGTATAAAACTATCAAATGGCCATCTCCCATGTATATTTCGATAAATCTCTTTGTTTATAAGAGTTATATGATATAGAAAAGTATGGACATATCAAATTTGAGCTTAATTTAATGTATAGAAGAATAGATAAAATTAAAATGCATATTATGCTCTAAAAAAATGAGACCTGAGTAAAAAATATGAAATATATAAAATTATTCTCAAATGGTAAATTTTCTATAAATTTTGCAATAAAAAAATACTTCTCAATGGTTTAAAAAAAGAAGGAGATGATATATATATATATAGAAAAGTTTAGATAAGGTTGAAACCTTAAGACGTAGAACTACGGATGCACCTCAAAAAGCTATTGGAAAAGGTTGTTTTAATATTGAAAAACCCTCTAAGTGATCATATCCACATCAAAATGAATGACTATGAAAAAAAAAAGGATTTTGAGTCCCAAAAATGGTGCATCTTACAGCACATTATCTAGACTGTCCATTTTCAAGATTTTCAAATACTTATAGATCTATTTGATTGTAATTATTTTTAGAGTTTAAAATTTTATAATTAGATATAAAAAAAATATTTTGAGATAAACTTAAGAATATTTTACATCAAAATTATATGTTATGATAAAATTTGAAGGTACACTTTAAATGAAAGTTCGTTTAAAACCACCTAACCCCTAGTTACGTCGGTTGGGAAGACGAACGGACACGACGAAAGGGGGATTAGGG